ATTTGACAGGAATACCATCAGGACCACACGAGCAATCCGAGCGCAAATTCTTAATTTCATTCAAAACTTTTTGATAACTAACTTCTCGAAGGTGAAATGCATTAGTTGAATCATCTGGTAAGGTATTAATGAAAGACCACAAGTTTTGAGTTGGCTCAGGTATTGCACCAGTGACACGTTCTGTAGTAGAAGCAAAGTGGGTGTTCAATTCATCAATTCGAAGAGGTTTAGGGTTTGGATGAAGTATTCTGTGTATAATCTTCCACACCTTTTTTTGATTTTTGGACGAAAAAGCTCGTTGATAAAAATCACGCTTGGCGGATTTTATTTTAGTTTTGAGTTTACTGTATTTCTAACATCACGATAGTGCGATTTGAAGATTTCATCGGCGTTGTTTTTACAAGACATTTCACGGAGGACATGGCAGTCCTTTTGAAGTTGGGCTATGTCACAGTGTTTCATCCAAGGTGCAGGGGGACGTGATATCTTAGTCCGTCTTAATGGCGCATGTTCGTCAAGACAATCACGAAATAAAGAGTTAAGGAAGAACATCACAGTGTGACACTTGTTGTTTCATGTTCGTAATTATATGATCAATTAATGTAGCTGAGTGTGGAGTCGTGCGTGTTGGTTTGATCACGAGTTGATCTAAGTTCATTGATTCTAAGACATCATTATACTTTTTTGTGTCAGCTTTATCAGGACGAAGCAGATCGACGTTAGTCACCCGTAACAGCTAACATCCCATCCCACTGAACAGATAGATCACTCAGTAAATCGTTAAAGTACTCTAACCAGGTTGTATATGGTAAGATGGCATCAGATCGATATATTGTACCAAGCAGAAGCTTACTATACCGATTACGACCGGAAATTTCTATCCAGAGATGCTCCATTGTGGGATAACGTTTCTTGAGATCTTGTCTTCGTTTAAACTTAATTGATTCTTTGATGTAAATACCGACACCACCACCTCTTATCTTATCTCTGTTATTGAACGCGTGAACATAACCTGGAATTGTTACATGTTGAAGTAAAAGATTATTTTCTTTTAACCATGTCTCACTCATCGTGATTATGTCAAAGGCATAGCGTTCGATCATAAGACATAAGTGATCGAAAGTAGAGACCATACTTCGGGTATTAATATGCATGATCTTGAGGTGTTGTACATGCTTACTAAGAATGTTAAGATGTGTATCGTTATCGTTGTCTGATGTTAGGGAGTTAACCGAGATTATTTCAAGAATGTCATGACCATAGAAAGGCAACTTTGATAGAACACATTTATGGCATGTCCAACATTGTGGTTGACTGGAATTTAGGTTGTTCGTGTAGGCGACTCCGAGACAACTTGCGTGAATAAAATCTTTGCATACATCACATACAAATCTTTTTTGATTTTTCCGGACAGTTTTCTGACATTCTGTACAAATTCTGGAAAAGGATCGAGATGTTCTCTGTTGTTTATTCTTTTGTTGAGAAGAGCTGTCAGAGTCCGGACCAGGGTTTAATTCAATATCACCAGCAGATAATAATAATTGAAAGGAGGCCATAGAATTTGGATAATAATGAATACGGCGGTGTAATCTTCGTGTGTAAAGACTGGAAAATTTCTTCTGAAAACGAGCTGTGGAATAAACTGGTGATAAATCATACCAAAGCGACTTATTGGACACAAACCGAGATGAAGCGAGAAGATTTGAGGTTAAATCAATGACTTGAGATTGGATGTTATCCTGTTTTTCAGCACTTAAATTAAACTCACATGAATCCGATATCGGGACTATTTATAGTTGTGAGATATATACAAACGCAAAAAGAACAGTCAGGATTATAAAAGCAGTATTCACCATAATAACGATCTTGATTTACGATGATTAAACATAAATAGCAACAAGTTGAGAATGTCAAGGCCTCGTTTTGGCTGAATTGATGAAAAACCAGCTAGGCTGAATAATCGAGGGAAATCTCCAATACACACAGATAATTAAGTGTCAAAGGTTAACAGTTTTTGCGTAAAATTGTTGCCAAGGAGCGCGACGCTAATCAGAATTCAAATTTAAAGATCCAACGGCCAGAATAATAAAAGTGTAATAAAACATAAACAGCACATCCAAATGACACCAAAATTAACACACGAAAGTAATAACAGAGTTTGTAGATCACGTAGTAAATTATATTCACAAGTAGACGCAGATGATATAAAATCCAACTTCGTATAACACAATAAATGCAAGTTTTTAATCATTGCATTATTCAAATAGATGCAGGTTTATTGGCGTGGCATGACCAGTTGCCATGGTAGCTAGCTTGCCACTGAATACTGTACAAAATCATATTATATATAAACGAAATAAATAATACTCGAATGAATCATTGGACATGTAGAATTTAATAACAATTTCATATATAGAAATATTAAGTCAGTTTTTGTCCCAATTATCGTTTTAATGCAATTATGGCACCTTCAAAGACTACCCCTATTGCAAAACAACTGAACAATCTGCTGATGCCTGATGGGGAGACAAAATCTATTTGTTGACAGTTTTGTTTCATATGTCAGCTTCTGATGACACCATTCACTTGTAATGATTAATTAAGATACTCAATCAGAACTATCAAACTATATAATACAAGAAATTTTGAGCATTATCAAAAAATATAGTATACCCATAGGTAGCCCAAACACACTGTGCGATTTAAATTTAAATGCTTGGCATACTTAATTACCCCCTGCGATATCGATTTCAAAATAATAATGTTAACGATTAGCTTATCTTATAGATTAGCTTGCTGCAAATTTTATGTCTGGCTGTTATTTAATAATATCAAAATATTTTTTTACGTCTGGGCCTGTGCTGTTTATCGAAAATACTTTTCAAGGTAAGATGAAAGTTTGATCACAAATACAACGAGTTTTGAAACGAATGAATCAATTGTATTTTTATTTTAAATTTTTAGGTGCTGCCATACAACTCTGTATACAATGCCACTGCTACAAACAAAATCGGCAAGCTATTGTGTCACTGCCACACAATTAAATCAGCAAGCCATTGTACCACTGCTACAACCAATATCGGCAAGCCATTGTGCCACTGCCACACAACTAAATCAGCAAGCCATTGTGCCACTGCTACACACAAAATCGGCAAGTTATTGTGCCACTGCCACAGAAATATTAAATCAGCAAGCCATTGTGCCACTGCTACAAACAAAATCGGCAAGCCATTGTGCCACTGTCACACAAATATTAAATCAGCAAGCCATTGTGCCACTGCTACAAACAAAATCGGCAAGCTATTGCGCCTATTAATAAATCAGCAAGCCATTGGCATTGTGCCAATGTTACACAAAATAAGCAGACCATTTTGCTTAAAACGTTTTAATCAAGTGATAGTGTTCACTCAAATGTTAGGCTACATTGTGTATGTTCCATTGTTGTTGAGAATGGCAAATGATGTAGAGGAAAATCCTGGACCCACAACTCCGTATATGATGTGGTTGATCCAACTAAAACAATATGTGCTGATTTTAGCCAGGGAAATACAAAAAAGTTTCGACAAAATGCTGGTAAACAATGTCTAGCAATGTCTTTGACTGCGATAATATATAATTATATCTATAATGAAAATGCATGGGATTCAACTGTATTAAATTTCATACTGTGTGCTGGAAATAACCTTTATTCTTTTATAAGCAATTCTGTTAAGAAAAGCTATTTGCTTTTGACTGACGTGCCTGAAATGGTTTCGGTTTTTGATGGCATTTATTGTATGCAATATGGTGACCCGTTTGCTGGTGACTTATTCATGGCAAATACCGCTCTACCTTATTATTATATATATAGTGCTCTTACTAATCTGTTTGTGGAAACTCAGTTAAATTATCAACATTGTCTGTTGACAATTGGTTGTAATAGTGTTGCAATTTTTAAGACTTCTGAAGGAACCTTTAAAGTATTTGATTCTCATTCAAGAGATTTATATGGGATTCCACACCCTTTTGGAAAATGCATATTAGCATCTGTTGATAGTATAGAAAGCCTGGTGATATATTTCCAGAGTACTGTACCTCCAGGTAATGAAACACCCTTCGAAGTTAAAGAGTAACTGTTCAGTTAAATTGTGATATAACACAAATAAGCGGACTTGCTTCAAGCGAAAGTGAAAAAAGAGCATGTAAAACAAAAATGTTCAGAGTTAACTGAGAGTCAGAAACAAAGCAGACTGCAAAATGCTAGAAAGTATAAAAAAGCTAAGCAAGCAGCAGAAACTGAAACTGAGAAACAAACTAGACTTGAAAATGCTTCGGAGTATCGAAAAGCAAAACAAGCTTCAGAAACTCAACATGAGAAACAAACCACACTTAAAAATGCTAGGGAGTGTCAAAAAGCAAAACGAGCTTCAGAAACTGAACATGAGAAACAAACTATAGACTTGAAAATACTGGGGAGTATCGAAAAGCAAAACGAGCTTTAGAAACTGATCACGAGAAACAAACTAGACTTGAAAATGCTAGGGAGTATCGAAAAGCAAAACAAGCTTCTGAAAAGGAGAAACAAACTAGACTTGAGAATGTTAGAAATTATGAAAAAAGAAAACGAGGACAGGAAACTGAAATTGAAAAGCAAACTATAGTTGCCAGTGCTAATCAGAACAAGAGAAAACGTTTGTGCGCTTCTACTCAAATTATAAATCAGCATGATTATTTAAACAAATTTGACATTGAAAAAGATGGTAGTATTCATGAACAGAGTTAGGCAAAAAATAACATTAATAAATTTTATAAATTCTTTATTAATCAATGCGCTATAAGTCAAGAAGCATGGCCACTGAACTCTAAACCAAGGTCACCTGATTGTTATGTATGCCCTCGATGTGCTCGAGACACAAAATCTCCTAGAAAGTTTTCACTTGAAAATGCAATGATTCCTTCTCCAGTGCCAACCGAGTTACAAAATTTAACTCAGGTAGAGGAGATGTTGATTGCTCGTGCTCTTCCTATCATGAGAGTTTACATTAAGCCTGGTTGACAACGAGGTTACTCAGGTCATTGTGTTAATTTGCCACAAAATGTTAAGGAACTTGCAACATCATTGCCAAGATATCCCAAAGATTTGTCTGTGATTATTGTCAAAGTCAAGGGTAAAGAAAACCAGTGGAGTAGCCAGCACGACAATTTAGTCTCGCTATGCAAATTCAAAATTATTATCATTATTCATTTCTTTAGAAATTGATTGTTTTCACAGTCAAAGAACATGGAAATATTTGCATAGCGGGACCAAATAGTCGGGCTGGCTACGCTACTGAAGAAAACTCATTTAGAGATGTTGCTGTGAGAAGAGAAAAAGTACATAATGCATTATTATGGCTTGTGCAAAATAATCCTCATTATGCCAAATTACAAATTAATGAACATGCATTAAACTCTTTACATGAAATTGGCATTCCGTGAATCTCGCAACATCATTGCCAAGATATCCCAAAGATTTGTCTGTGATTATTGTCAAAGTCAAGGGTAAAGAAAACCAGTGGAGTAGCCAGCACGACAATTTAGTCTCGCTATGCAAATTCAAAATTATTATCATTATTCATTTCTTTAGAAATTGATTGTTTTCACAGTCAAAGAACATGGAAATATTTGCATAGCGGGACCAAATAGTCGGGCTGGCTACGCTACTGAAGAAAACTCATTTAGAGATGTTGCTGTGAGAAGAGAAAAAGTACATAATGCATTATTATGGCTTGTGCAAAATAATCCTCATTATGCCAAATTACAAATTAATGAACATGCATTAAACTCTTTACATGAAAATGGCATTCCAGCAGATCTCATGACTGTTGAGACTGAAAATGAATGATGATGTTATGTCAGATTTAGGTCCACCTACTGAAAACCCTTCTGAAGATATAGTTTATAACAACTCGACAGACATGAATAATTTCTTGCCTGTTGGTGAACAGCAGGAAGAAGAAATAGAAGCAGTTAGAAGAAATAGAAGCAGTTAGAAATCAGCTTTCAGGAAATGAACCAATGCCATGGCCCACTATTGAAAGTGAACCATTGAATGAATATCAGATATCACATCTGGCCACTATCGCTTTTCCAACATTATTTCCAGATGGGAAAGGTGATCCCACTAATCAAAGTATCTTGAGGAATGTTCCTCTTCAAGAAAGAATTAAGCATCTTTTGAAATTTGCTGAATTTATTGATGGTAAATGGGTATACCGTTTTGCTAACCACCCTAGATTTTCATACTGGGCATTTAATATGATTCACAGAAAGCGTATTCTACAACAAAGTGGAATATTCATTAAACAAAATCCAGGTGAAGCACACCTCACTATTGATGAGTTACGTGAAATGGCTGCAAGTGACAACTCCACTTTATTGATGTCCAAAGTGTCCAGATACAGTACATTGGCAATATTGCAGGTATTAATGCTTACTGGAATAAAGTGAGAGAGGAACTGAAAGCTATAATAACTAATGTTGGAGCACCAACATTGTTCTTTACTTTCTCATCAGCAGATATGCACTGGCCTGAATTACACGCTCTCTTTGGAGCAAACACTGGTAACGCCACTAGTTAGGTAAGGAGACAAAACGTTATTAACAATCCACATATAGTTGATTGGTTCTTTACACAGAGACTAGAAAAGTTTGTAAAACACTGGCTTTATGATACACTTGGTGCAAAATGGCACTGGTTTAGATATGAATACCAAGGTAGAGGTAGTATCCATTGTCATGGTACTGCTATGGTCAACTTACTCAGACTGCTTTGAAAGGTTTCTTAGCTCAAAAATTTAAAAATGAAAATGATTGCTCTGACACAACTGAACTGGACCAGGATATTGAAGCTGGTCAGAAAGCAGCTGACACAGTATGTCAGTATGTTGATTGGTTATTATCAACCGTCAACCCTATCCACCAGATGAGGATATGTGGATAAGACCTCGACCGAGTTGTTATTTTTAAATCTAACAGAACATTGGAAGATGGCACTTGATAGTGGAAAAACAGTTGGCATTTTATTTATGGACTTTAAAAAAGCGTTTTACAGTGTCAACCATACCATTTTAATGGGCAAGATACAAGGAAAGGGTATAGCAGGAGAAGTATACGAATGGGTAAAAGATTACTTGACTGATAGGGAACAATTCACAGATCTAAATGGCGTTTACTCAAGCTCACAAACTGTAAAATACGGAGTACCACAAGCAGTGGCGTAGCTAGCGGTCCTGCTTGTCCTGCCCAGCAGGACTAAAAATTTGCCAAAATTTCCTTACTAAAACATTGCTTTATTTATCTTGAAGCTTTAAAAATTTACATTATCATATTGTTATTTTGTCTCATTTTCTCGTCTTTTTCGTTATTATTTTTTAAAAAGTTTTTCGCATTCTGTTATATATTTACGCAATTTTATAGCTTGCCGTGTTTGTTACCTAGCAACTGCAACTCTACATTGATTTACACGCGACTCTTATTTCCTGCCATTTTCAAATGGCAGGACTTGCTAGTATATTTCATAGTAAATTCATACAAGAAATCTTGGTTTCTGATTGGATAATTAGGTCTGCGCATGCTCAAACCGACTGTTTACAAATGCGAAGTCCTGCTCTCTCGAAATGGCAGGACTTGGCCTTGTATTGTCTTTACTTGCGAGCTTTCCGCGTGACTAAACCCACTTTTTACTAATTCTGTCGAGATTACTCAAGTTATGAATATGGAAATCAACGAGTGCGGAAGCCCAATGTGATTTTGATATAATTTCTGGCTTCTGCTAAGATATTTTAGCTGACGAAATGCATGTGAACAGACTCGACTGATGATTGTGTATTTTTATAATACAATATAATGGGGAATACAAACTTCATTTGTGAAGCCTGTACGTCGTAATGTCGTATTGATATAAAGTAAGAACGTAATATTTACTGCCAGTTCATCTGCTTTGTCCATTTGAAACGAGCACTTATATGGAGTTTAATTTTAAAAATGATATATGACCATATATTGTACCAATTCACACTGTTTATGTAGATATTTGGCCGCATAGACTATATGCATAGCGTACTGAATTACATTCAATTCAGAGTGCCAGGCGTAGTTATCTGTAGTTGTCTTGATACCACTCCACTATATAAAGTTTAACACATTACTAACAAACGTAGTGAATTTTTAACGAATGCTAGCCGTAGCGTTTTTAAAATAAGTGTATGAATAGTGGCGCAATTGTTGATTATGTGAGGTTGGATTATGTGTTGGTCAAGTGAAAGATCATATTACAGACGCGTATGGTATACATGATATTTTCCTCTTTCGTGACTTGACTATATTTAGCTACATTATATTTTCAGTTAAGTTGAAAAATATATAGTGAAATATGTTAAAAAAAATGCATGGATTTCAAAAAGTTGCAAATTTTTTTTCTAAAAAAATTATCAAAAATTTTCCGCTAATCACGCAATTTTTTTTATGTTCCCTTTGGAGTATTTCGCCGTGGAAATGGCCATTCCAGACTTCTAAAATTCAAAATTTCCCGGGGGAGCATACCCCCGGACCCCCTAGAATGGGTGGGTCTTAGAGCAGGACTAGTCAAATTTCGCTAGCTACGCCACTGACCACAAGGATCGCTATTAGGATCGCGACTATTTAAGATATACGTTGATGATCTTCCTGATAATGTAAGTGAAGGATGGGTGTATCTGTTTGCCGACGATACTACTGGATATGACATTGGAGATAATATTGATGTAGCAACAGATAAATTAAATCAAATGGCCGGGGAAATATACGGATGGTGTAGGGAAAATAAGATAACTGCACATATAGGCAAAACAGAAGCAATGATACTGTCACAACAGCCCTTTTAGGGTCCAGTAAAACCGATATGCTTTGGAGATGAACAGATAAAACTTGTAACAACAACACAGTCATTGAGGGTAACAATTGATAATAGATTGACGTGGAAGGAGCAACATAAAAAGGTAATAAAATCATTCAGCGCAAAACTATCCCAATTAAAAAGAATAAAGTATCTACCGAGATATGTACTGGAGGAAATTTATTACAAAGCAATCATACCAAACGTAACATACGGCATACTAGTTTGGGAAACATGTTCACCTTCGTTAATGGATGATTTAGAACCATCACGTAAGAGCGGCACAGATGATATATAACATTTTGCAAGATAATTTAACGAATGAACAAATACTAGAACAAGTAGATTGGAAACCTATAGGTGATATATATAAAAAGCGTATCTTGACCTTAATGCATGATGTATATTATATGAATGTTCCACAGGATTTGCAAAACCTATTCACACGGACTGCGAGAGTAGGAAGACGAAAACAGAATTTTAATGTGGTTAGGTGCAAAACCGAAAAAGGAAGGACATCTTTACGGTACAGAGGTCCTATAGCATGGAACCAACTTGATAATGACACTAAGGCAATAGTTAAGGTTACAGAACACCTTTGAGTGTTAATTTTGTCTAAAATGCTTTCATGGAAACCAATAGACTAGTTCTGCTGTCTGACCAAGTTTGAACGAAAAATGTTGAAAACTCGCAGAGTTATTTAATAAAATACATTTCGCTGCAATAAGAAAAACATTGAAAATGTAACATTCAAATTCAATTTTCTCCCGAAAAAGTTTACGGTAATTACTGATTTTCAAACGAGTTGTGCTCCTGTGGGTTTTAACCAATTTTTCTCAAATTTTCACAGGACATAGCTAAAGATCTAGACGTCAGTTTCAAAGTTGTGTTCGGCTTTTTTTTAATTTTGGATATTTTAAAAATAAAGAGCAATTCACTCAAACAATTCAGAAATATATTGCAGTCGTCAAAGAAATCGCCATATCGGCGGAATGACGAAATAAACAAAAATTTCCGAACACAGTTTTTTATAACAACTATTTTACTGTATAAAAATTATATTTTCATAAATATAACTTAAAACCAGCAGGAGCACAACTCAAAAGCGTAACGGTACCGCGATTTAAGATTTTCCTGAATAATTCTTACATTAATTTTTCTGTGTTGGTGTTGTGTACTCAGGTGAATAATATGTTTGCGATGTTACTCTGAGTGCATATCCACACCGGGCGAGCTTGAAAAATATGCCCGGCCACGGTGGGATTCGAACCTACGACCTTTGGAATACTAGCCCAATGCTCTTCCAACTGAGCTACGCGGTCAGGACGGTTCGAGTAAGCGATATTTCGGAACAGTATCTAGTTCCTTCAATACCAATGTGTTCTAGTAATATGAATTTTCTGTGTTGGTGTTGTGTACTCAGGTGAATAATATGTTTGCGATGTTACTCTGAGTGCATATCCACACCGGGCGAGCTTGAAAAATATGCCCGGCCACGGTGGGATTCGAACCTACGACCTTTGGAATACTAACCCA